AGAGAATTGCTTATTTATTGTTTTGTTTTTTAAGGCTTGGGTATATAGTGCCCAATTTTTCTCCAAAGAGTGGGTCTCTTTTCCCACTTTCACAAGCTGAATGTGAGTGCCTTTTCCTTAGCATCTTTGCCAATGTTGAGTTTTGTCGTAAAAAAAAAAAAAAATCTATGCCAATTTGATAGACAAAATTTTTTATCTTGTTTTAACTTGTGCCTTTTCTGTTGTTGGTGACTTTGACCACTTAAGAAATGATTTGCTCTGTTATGTTTCTTTGTGACTTAGCCCATCTTTTCCCTGGGGCAGGGGCAAGGGCGCAGGCCCGGGCCCACTTTCTCTGAGCGGAACAGACAGTGCTGCACATCCGGGGCGGGGAGCCGGGCAAGCCTTGCCTCCCGCAGCGCCCCTCCGGGGCAGGTGCCCAGGGGTGACGTTCTTCCATTAGAAATAGATTCTTTTAGGTTGTTCTCTCTCCAGATTTGCTTTAAAATATCAAGCAAATTCCCTCTAAGGTGTTAGTGACACATCAACCTTTTTTTTGACATGTTAACAGACAGCAATACTAAGTGCCACCCATGGTGGGCTGGCTGGGAGGGACCAGGAAACAGTTAATAATACTCAAGAGGAAAAAGACAAGAATCGGGGGATAAGGGGCGCCTCAAACTTTGCCCTCATCACAGTTTTGTTCGGGCCTGTCCTTTTCTGACGGCCCTCCCTCTCTCCCAAGAAGATAACTGTCAGTTCTTTAAATGTTTTTCCTAGACATTTATGTCCTATAATTTAATACATTTTAGAGCTTCACCATTCCTGATGTTTGTTCGTTCATTCATTCATTCATTCATTACATATTTTGAGCCCTAATATGCAGGGCTCTGGGCATGCTATGGGACACTAGGAAAAGCCTGTAAATTCCCTGCCTTTTATACTCCACTGAGGGAAACTCACCGTCGAGTGATCAGGTAGCACGGCGAGTGATGTGAGATATAACAGCCACCAGTGGGTGTGGGATGGAGAATCGGGGCCGCCAGCCTGATGTGGCCCTGAAGGGATGGCTTTGGGGAGAGGGGTTAGACGACCTTTCTGAGGAGAATTCCCAACTACATTCTCAAGTAACAGTTTGCGCCTGGGGGGAAGGGGGAGTCTTTTGTTCTTTGCTACGATTATTTGAATTGTTTCCCCTTGGGTGAAGAGTTGGCGTGCGTGGCATAGCCTGGCACGGCTGGCTCCAAGAAGCAGACAGAGCCGATCACCTACTGGCTCTTCCCTTTGTGTGTTCTCCCCGCTGCCCCGGCTCTGGAGGCCCCGACACCACCCCGAATAAGC